GTAATATGAGACTTTTCCATCCCCCCTCTTAGGCTATCAATTTTCTATGGGTCACGTGACCAGCTCCGACCGGGGTCTTTCCTCCACAAGACAGAAGAGCCTGAGAACGAGGTTGTTTTATCTCATATATTATCTGATATATATATATATATATATATATATATATATATATATATATATATATATATATATATATATATATATATATAATATACCCGAGTTGTGTATCAACAGTCACTACAGTATATATAGATGTCAAATCATTTTTAATTATTTGTATTGATTAATTAATAGGAACACGTTGTTTGCGTGATGTTACTCTGAGTGTATATCCACACCGGGCAGGCTTGAAAAATATGCCTGGCCACGGTGGGATTTGAACCTACGACCTTTGGAATACTAGCCCAATGCTCTTCCAACTGAGCTACGCGGTCAGGTCGGTTCGAGTGTGCGATATTTCGGGACTGAGTCTAGTTCCTTCGATATCAGTGTAATCTAATAATCGTGAAATCTGCTCTATTGGTGTAATGTACTCAGGTGAATAAGATGTTTGTGTGATGTTACTCTGAGTGTATATCCACACCGGGCAGGCTTGAAAAATATGCCCTGGCTAAGGCGGGATTCGAACCTACGACCTTTGGAATACAATCAAAGCCTGCTAATCAAGCCTGCCCGGTGTGGATATACACTCAGAGTTCCGAAATATCGCATATTTGAACCGACCTGACCGCGTAGCTCAGTTGGAAGAGCATTGGGCTAGTATTCCAAAGGTCGTAAGTTCGAATCTCGCCGTGGCCAGGCGTATTTTTCAAGCCTGCCCGGTGTGGGTATACACTCAGAGTAACATCACACAAACATCTTATTCACCTGAGTACATCACAGCAACGCGACAGATTTCACGATTATTAGATTACACTGATATCGAAGGAACTAGACTCAGTTCCGAAATATCGCATACTCGAACCGTCAGTGACCGCGTAGCTCAGTTGGAAGAGCATTGGGCTAGTATTCCAAAGGTCGTAGGTTCGAATCCCGCCGTGGCCAGGCATATTTTTCAAGCCTGCCCGGTGTGGATATACACTCAGAGTAACATCACACAAACATCTTATTCACCTGAGTACATTACACTACTCCAACACAGCAGATTTCATAATAAGAACACGTTTGTAAAACAGTCGTAACTGAGCAATTTTGTGACATGCTGGTTAATTACCATGGATATTGATTATTGGGCAAATGAGTCATGTACAGACACGTTAATTATCCGTTTACTGCTATACCTTTTTGGCCCTATACTGGCCCTATAAGTCTAAAAATAATAGTGTGCAAAACAAGTGTTCCTGTTCTTATTCTTTATCAGCAAAAAACAACTTATGTCCTTCCACCAGGCTGTCATAAAAATTGCCCAAACCGTTTGGCACAGCACGAGAAAGCAACCATTCCATATGTCTTGAAGGAAGATAGCCATTGTACAAATTATGTGATAAACCAAATATTGTACAAGCATGGTCAGGATCATTCTCATCTGCTGTAGCAATGATAAACTGTCCGCCATTTGTCATTCTGATATACGGACCCACGTTTGCTGGCTTAGACCTGTGCGAGGCATTGATGTACGGGAGAAGATATGCTTGTTTACCATACCACTCTACCTCTATGCCTGCAGTTGTGAAGAGCACGAGATCTCGATCGGTAAGAGGCCATGCCAATTCTACCCTATTATATATCAAATATCCCCCACCATCCGGGTATTCCTCCAACACTTCGTTGTCAACGAATCCTTTGTCCCATTTACAGCGAAGCTCCATGTTTTTCGGGTTCGAAATTTCTATGAACTGTTGTACGGACAAGGGTAGGTGGAATTTCAGCAACACTTTAGTTGGTATTTCTTCATTCGGGAAGGTTTTGATCCAAGATGTTTTGTTTTCCACCTTTTGTATTTCTCGCCAACCTCCTTTCTGTAAATCGTCATGAAACCACTTCGCTTGAGCTAACACGTTCTCGCACGAGAAAGATTTTGCGTAGTCGACAGTTTTGTTGCCAGACATTTCGCTCTTGCTCTTAAAATCTAAAATAATAAAAAAATAAAATAATTTACGCACAGTACTATTTCATTAATATTTAAAAAGACGTGCATGCATGATCTTCCAATAGCCCGTGCTATAAGACAATTACATAATTATATAGTACAAATTTACAACAAATGCGATAGAGTCAGAAAGAAAAAATTAAATAATAAAAACTAATTATGCACAATTATTAAATCTTAAGGTATAATTTAAAAGTTCCAATGAATCCAAATTTTTCAAGTGAAGTCAGATGGTAAATTATTCGAAGCCACCACTTTTTACAAAAGTTTCTATTTAGCTTCGTAATAGCATAGTTGCCCGGGTTTCTTTTGTTTCAACAGGGGCGATTACTAACTAATCACCCGCTACAGCGGACGATTAGTTCTAATCGCCCGTTGGCAAGGGTCACGCCCTTCCTTTATCTACTAAAAAGCGATACAGCGATACAACGATACAGCGATACAAGAACTGGAACCGGAACCTGGAACCGTGCATAAATTATGCAAATTAGAGCATTTTGCACCACGGGAGATATACATGATAATAATTTACAGGGGGGGGGGGACGCAATTCAAAGATAGTATAAAATATTATATGCAAAGCATTTATTTTGATTTTTTCAGTAAACAAAACAAAGAATGAACGTCGTTGTAGTACTATATTACGAAGTAAAACATGGTTCGTAATTGCGCGGCGATTCTTTCTGTCTGTTTTGATACGACTGCATGTGACGCACTTAGTTTTTTTAGCCGCCCGGCCGCACTTGATCATGAAACGCCAGCAGACAGAGAAGGAAGACAAAGCAGATTTCATTTGCGCTGAATTCAGCAGCAATTGTGCGCTAAAGTAACTAGAATGTAGTGTATAATACAATCCAACATTGAATGTGCTATATACGCTGCGAATACGCGAATATTGCGAATATGCTGGCATACTGTATGCTAAAAATATCCGTTTGAACATCAATCACAGACATGAATGAAGTTATGAAGGTAACTTCAATGTCAAAAATACATAATAATGAAAAATTTCCCTATTCTTGACGTTACATGACGTTCTTGCTTTTTCGTGCCCAGTCCCCGGCCGAGTTATATTGGGGAAACATACTGAATTCATGTCAGTCCGTCGGATGTCGAGATTTTTCGGAAATTGTCGTCAGCTCGAGCATTCGACGACTCTTTGTTTTTATTCGATTTTGATTCGACTCTATTTATTTTGTATTGCGCTCGCATGATTTTTCTCAGGATTTAATACGATGCTGGTGATTATGATGCTGGTGATGCCGATGATTGTGATATTGTTAAAGACAGGTAATGAAAATATGCCGATAAAGAAAATTAAATCTTTATATGAATTGTATCAATTGTCACAACTAACTCAGGAAGCTACCCGAGTAACTATGACAGCCTCCACCCTTATTGACCACATAATAGCTAATACTCCAGAAAAAGTTTCTGATTCTGGTGTTATCCATACTGGAATAAGTGACCATAGCTTAGTTTTTGCAATTAGAAAGATCTCTGTTATCAAGAAACTAGAAAACACAACCGAAATTAGAAATATGAAGAAATTTGATACCCAAAAATTTGTTGCGGATCTGATGCAACAACAGTGGGAAAATGTGTATTTCTTCGCTGAAACTCCAAATGCAAAGTGGGAAATTTGGAAAATGCTATTCTTAGAAGTACATGCACCCCTTCAAAACAAAAAGATCAGAACAAGACGAGTCCCTTGGATTACAAGTTCCATAAAAGAACTTATTAATACAAGGGACAAGCTTAAAAGAAAAGCCATTATTACGAACCTCGAAAATGATTGGTTAAGTTATCAAAGAACTAGGAATAAAGTAAATATAGAACTAAGAAATGCCAGAAAAGATTACTATTCCACGAAAATTGCTGGTGATAAGTCCAATACTAAGGAAGCTTGGAAGACCATAAACAGTTTATTGGGAAGGCAAAACAAACCAACAATCGTAAATGAGCTAATAGTTTAACTAACCCTAAAGATATTGCAGAGGGTTTTAATGATTATTTTTCAAATATTGGCCCAAATTTAGTTAGCCAAATTAATACTTCAAATTTGAACTTTGATACATACGTCAAAAATACTGAATCAGAATTTACCGCATTCCAATTACCTGTCACGGTCAATCATGTCTACCAACTTCTGACTGGTCTCTCAAGCAACAAAGCCACAGGTGTCGACAAAATTTCTTGCAAAATTATTAAGATTGCTTCACCTGCTATTTCAGATTCACTAACACATATTTTTAATCAGGCCATTAGTCTGTCCTCATTCCCTGATGAATGGAAAATGGCTAGCGTAATACCTCTATTCAAAAATGGCCAACGTAATGCGGCAGGAAATTACAGACCAATTTCTGTCCTGCCAGCCATTAGCAAATGGAAATGTCCTGCCAGCCATTAGCAATTATGGAAAAAATTCTGTATAATCAACTGTACAGCCAGTGACAGCCAATTTGGTTTTCGAAAATTTCATTCTATGGCTACTGCATTATTAGATTGTACAAATGACTGGTATGTGAATTTAGACAGAAAAATGTTTAACCTGGTTGTTCTAATTGACTTAAAAAAAGCATTCGATACAGTCGACCATCAAATTTTATTGAGGAAATTGGAACTGTACGGTATAAAAGGCCAGGCACTATCTTTTCTCAATTCATATCTCTCAAATCGAAGTCAGAAATGCCAAATAAATGGATTTTTGTCATCGGAGAAAGTAATTAGATGTGGTGTGCCACAAGGCTCTATTTTAGGGCCATTATTCTTTTTATTGTACATCAATGATTTGCCCCAATGTCTATCAAAAACGAAACCTCGGTTATTTGCTGATGACACAAACCTGACAGCTTCTGGCGACTCGATAACTCGTCTTGAAGCTGCAGTGAATTCTGATTTAGAAAACCTAAA